AAAAAAAAAAGGGTGTGTGTACCTGGTGTGTGTTAGGTAACAGGTAACTGGAAGTGGGAGAAGAGACCAGTGGTAAGAATGTGATTTTGGTTGCTTTTCTGCATACATAGTTGAATTTGTATAGAGCGATCATGGGGAAGTTGAGATCAGTGGCTGCCGACAGCTTCATAATGCTAAGACTTAATCCCACGCGCCACCAGGGAGGCCTTGACTGTCATTTGTAAACAAAATTAAAGTTTTTACATTGCTGTTAATTTGTGTGCAGCACATGCTCTCCCCGCAGGTGTAGTTTTTCCAGCCCCACAGCACCTCTGATCCAGCTCCATCCTTGGTGCTCTGCCCCTCACTGTTTTGACCCCCCCTCCCTGTTTGTGGGCCTCGGGTCTGTGGTCACCTTGAAAGTTTTGTCTTTTTCCTGATCTTTTGTCAGTTTCTCCATGTTCCACATATAGGTCAATTTTGTGTATGTTAAGAAACCTCCACGCAGCTTCCCATAGTGTCTGGACCACTTTGCATTCACATGTTTTACTCTTGAGAGAGAAGCTGAGTCCAGGTTCTCTCCAGCCCGTTTAGTAACGAGTTTCCAGAAAGCACCTGAGAGAGAGGAGCATGAAGCACTTGGGTAGACTAGTGGTCTTTGAGACTGAGACGACAGGCCACTCTTCTAGAGGGGGACTGTGACAGTTTCCTGTTTCTGTTAGCAGTGAGTGAAGTTACAGGACTCTTAAAGCCTCTCTACTTGCTTTGCTGATACTTCAAAATGATGGGGAGACGTGGGGGACGGCAGCCTCCCCTAAGATAGATGTGGGTTTTCTAGAAGGTGTAGGCAGGGAAGAAAGGATCAGTGCAGGCTTTCAGCTACAACGAGTGATTTCATATTCTTATTTTTCTTCCCCACAGACTTGCTAAAAATGATTAGTTTATTTCCTCATGGTTAGCCCAGGTTAGCCTAGGTTATTGTTCAGGTGAGGTAAATAGTTCTCGTAAGCATATACTTGAGACAGTTGATTCTTTTAAAAAATGAGCTTCAAGGATTACTCTTGAAGTTTGAGTAATGTCCTTTTTTAAAAAAAAGATGTTATTACTACATTTTAAACCATAATGTTATCTATATACCTTTTTTTGGTAAATATTTTACTTTCTCAAATTGCTAAGTAAATATCTGATAATTTGTTTTCGTCATTCTGACTTTCTTGACTATGCAAAATTATTTTGAACTACCTCCGTTTTGCTGGAAATGACTACAGTCTATCTTTTCCTTGTAAATGGACAGTGTCCATAGTGTGGCTGTACCACGTCTTCATGATCCCACTCATCCACTGCTGGACGTTTTCGGCTGTTTCCATGTCCCGCTTATTGTTAGCAGTGCTGCAGTAAACATTGTAGAGCCTGTAGTTTTGTGTTGGTGGTTTCATGTTCTTTGGGAAGATGCAAGAGTGGGATTGATGGGTTGTACAGTATTTTCCATTTTTAAAGATAAAGCCAAGGTGCACTAGTTTTCATTTCCACCAGCAATATGAGAGGGGTCCTCTTTCACTCCATCCTAATCTGTCAGGAGTCTTTTTAATATGTGCTGTCTTCACTGGTGTGTGACAGTGTCCTGTTGTGGTTCTAACCTGCACCTCTCTTTGGAGGTGATTCTGAGCGCTTTTCAAATCTGTGGGCCTGGATATCGTGCTTGGTGAATTGTCTGTTCATATATCAGCCGCTCATTAAATGAATTGAATTCTTGTTCTGTAAAGCATCTTGCTCTTCTTTCTGTCTCAAATGTTAAACTTGCTGGGTAAAAGATTCTAGGCTGGAAATCTTTTTCTTTAAGTACTTAAATTATCTGCCATTCCTTAT